TCCACATCTTTGCAATTGTGAATTGTGTTGCTATAAACATTCTAATGCAGATGTCTTTTTTTATAAAATGTCTTTTGTTCTTTTGGGGAGATGCCCAGTAATGGGATTGCTGGATCAAGTGGTAGTTCTACTTGTATCTCTTTGAGGTATCTCCATATTACTTTCCACAGAGGTTGTACTAGTTTGCAGTCCCACCAGCAGTGTAGGAGTGTTCCTATCTCTCCACATCCATGCCAACATTAATTGTTTTGGGACTTTTTGGTAAAGGCCATTCTCACTGTAGATAAGTGATATCTCATTGTGGTTTTGATTTACATTTCCTGATAATTAGAGATATTGAGCATTTTTTCATATGTTTGTTAGCCATTAGCCTCTCTTCTTTGGAAAAGTTTCTGCTCATGTCTTTTGTCCACTTTTTGATAGAGTGTTTGATTTTTTCTTTGCTGATTTCCTGAGTTCTATACAGATTCTAGTTATCAGCCCTTTATCGGATATGTAACATGCAGATATTCTCTGCAAATTTTTCCTTTGTGGTGTCTCCATATTATTTTCCACAGAAGTTGTACTATTTTGCAGTCCCACCCACAGTATTTTTCATTTATTTAGAGCCTTCTATTAATACTAATACCACTAGGACCCACTAAAATGGAAAATCCATGAGGGCAGGGACTTTGTTTTGTTCACTGCTATAGCTCCCATGCCCAGGACAGTAGGTGGTCATTAAACATTTGTTTAATAAGTTAATAAACCATTTGTTAAGTGTAGAATGCCATGTTATAAGTTTTGTGGCAGAACATTCAGGAGAGAGTTTTAGGAGATGAGGCAATACGAAGAGGGCAGCAAAGCTCCCCGTGTGCTGTGCTAAAGCTTTGAATTTCATCATTGCCCAACCAGGAGCCAACAGCGAAATGACAAAATCATATTTGCATTTAAAAAATAAACTCTTCTAATAGTGGGGCAAATACATTTGACATGAATGAGATAGAAGGCAGTGAGAGCTGGGCATGGTGGCTCACGCCTATAATCCTAGCACTCTGGGAAGCCGGCGGATTGCTCGAAGTCAGGAGTTCGAAACCAGCCTGAGCAAGATGAGGACCCCATCTCTACTATAAATAGAAAGAAATTAATTGGCCAACTAATATATATAGAAAAAATTAGCCAGGCATGGTGGTGCATGCCTGTAGTCCCAGCTACTCGGGAGGCTGAGGCAGAAGGATTGCTTGAGCCCAGGAGTTGGAGGGGTGTATGGCTAGGCTGATGCCATGGCACTCACTCTAGCCTGGGCAACAAAGCGAGACTCTGTCTCAAAAAAATAAATAAATAAAAATTAAAATTAAAAAGGCAGTGAGAGAACTATTGCAAAAGTCCATGAAAGACAAATCATTAAAAACAGGATGATCCAGCAATTCTACTTTTGAGTACAGAACCAAGAGAATTGTAAACAGAAACACAATGAGATATTTGCACACACACGTTCACAGCAGCACTATTCACAACATCCAAAAGGTGAAAGCAACTCAAGTATCCATCAATAGATGAATAAATAATCAAAGAGTAGTGCATATATATGTGTGTGTGTATGTATATATATATATATATATATTTATACATATGTATGCACACACACACATACAATGGAACACTATTCAGCCTTAAAAAGGAAGGAAATTCTGACACATGCTACAATAAGAATGAACCTTGAAGACATTATGCTAAGCGAAATAGGCCATCCACGAAAAGAGAAATTCTGTATGATTTCACTCATATAAGGTACCTGGAGTGGTCAAATTCATGGAGACGGTAAGTAGAGTGGTAGTCACCAGGGGCTGAAGAGAGGGCAGAAGGGGGAATTACCGTTTAATAGGTAAAGAGTTTCAGTTTTGCAAGATGAAAAAAGTTCTGTGGAGGGATGATGGCGATGGTTGCACAACAATGTGATGTACTTTATGCCACTGTACCAAACACTTTAAAATGATTATAATGGTAAATCTTATGTTGTATATATTTTATCATAACTTTTTTTTAAAAGCCCATGAGAAAGCCTATGCAAGCCAGGGTCTGGGTAATGGAAGAGAAAACGGTCAGGACGGGACTGATTCCAGAGACATAAAGAAAATTTGAAGCCACAAGATCTTGAGATCCACCAGTTGTGGGAAATGAGGACAGGTGAGAGGATGATTTCTAAGTTTCCAGTTGGATATCTGGAGTTGGCAGGGATGTCTCAACAGAAAAGGGAGGAAGAGGTTGGGCGCGGTGGCTCCCGCCTGTAATCCTAGCACTCTGGGAGGCCAAGGCAGGAGGATCGCTCAAACTCAGGAGTTCGAAACCAGCCTGAGCAAGAGCGAGACCCTGTCTCTACTAAAAATAGAAAGACATTAACTGGCTAACTAAAAATATATATAGAAAAAATTAGCCAGGCATAGTAGCGCATGCTTGTAGTCCCAGCTACTCGGGAGGCTGAGACAAGAGGATCGCTTGAGCCCAGGAGTTTGAGGTTGCTGTGAGCTAGGCTGACGCCACAGCACTCTAGCCCGGGCAACAGAGTGAGACTCTGTCTCTAAATAAACAAATAAATAGAAAAGTGAGGAAGAGAAATGGATTTGGGGAGAAAGATGATGAGCTCAGTTTTGAACTTAAGTTAGAGCTATCTGTGGGTCTACCAGTGAAGATAATCAATAACCCTTTAACTATATAATGCAGGATTTTAAGAGAGACATTCAAATTGGAAATACGGTTTTGGCATCCTTAGCAGATAGTTGTTGGAGTAACTGACATCCCTTGGAAAGGGTGTTAGAGAACAAAGAGAGATTGGGGAGCAGAACCCTGGGGCCAGAAAAGGAAGAAATGTCTACACAGGGAGACAATGAAGAAAGAGTTGAAAGAGAGCTAGCAGCCCCCAGGGAGTTGATGGTTTTAAGACAAAGTGGTCATGCATGTTATCAATAGCTATGGCACATTCAAGAAATATAAATACTGAAGTGGGTTCCTTGAATCTAGCCATTTGGGAAGGTCAATGAAGATGCTGATAGGAGCAACTTGAGGAAAAGGGTAGGTTTGAAAACCAAATTGCAGTAAAATTACCAAGAAGGAAGTTGAAGGCATGGATAGGAATTTGAGAAGAAAATTACAATGTCTCACGTGTGTGTGTGTGTGTGTGTGTGTGTGTGTGTGTGTGTATAAAATCTCCTATAATTGAGACCTTTGATCTTGCTGGAAAAAACTAATCAGCTGGTGGGGGGGGATGGATGGGAAATACCATTTGTTTTTAGGTGATGACTTAACTCTGCCAAGTAAGTTAGCATATGTCCACCTACTCAGCCCTGAAAAAACAAAACAAAGAATATAGCTGGCTTAAAATAAATGGTATCAGTGGTACAGACAACAGTTTTTCTACACATTATCCCTCTTCACCTTCTCTTATAAACAGAACTCTGATTTTATATGGGCTAGCAATATATACAACTAAAAGTCTACTTCCCCCAGCCTCCTTTGCAACTAGGGAGATATAAGTGGAAAGCTTTGGGTGGGGCTTTCCAAAGAGCTCCTTAAGGAAGACTAACTCAGGAGGGTGGTGCCTCCCTTTTGACCTATACCCTTTTTCTTCTTCCTTTTTGGAAAGAGGATGTGATGGCTGGACCTCCAGGAGCCATATTGGGCCCAGGGAGCTACTTTGAGGATGGAAGTTATATGCTGAAAATGGCAAAACAGAAAATACACCCATGTCTCTAACACTATCACAGAGATACCATACCTTCTCCGAAGGGTTGACCTATAGGATTCTTGTATGTGAGAGAATAAGTCCTTACTTGATTGTAGTTGGGTCTCTGCTGTTAGCAGCTGAACACAATTCCTAACTGCTATGTCATCTTCTACATCTGACTATGAATTACTATTCTGTTCAGGTCTGACTTTCTCTAAGAGCTGCCACTAAAACACTGCAATATTAAGAGCCCTGGAAAAGCTGTCTGCTTGAGACACAGACTTACCTGGTTGCTGATGCTGAAAATTCCTGGGATAGTGGCCAGAGCCTTGTTTTACCACTCAAGATAAGGTTTCAGTTTCAAATAAGCTTTAGAGAAATGTCTCATGGACTAGAATTTATTTTCAGAGCCTGTCCTGGGTTTTGATCAGGGTGGGGCAGGAAGGGAATACAGATGAACTTTGGGGAAGAAGGGGAATTAAAGGGAGAGGAGCTCCTGGCAGAGCCACACAGTCAGGCACTAGGGCCCAGATGACACGCTCAGCACCTTATTAAGTTTGCCTTAAGGTTGGCACCTTATGAAGTTTGCCTTAAGGTTGGCCCAGGTTAGAGGCCAATAGTAAAATAAGTCATGTTTATGGAGCACTTACATTATTTCCTTTAATCCTTACAGCACCCTTTTGCAGTTGAGTGGTGTGGTTATCACCCCCCATTTTACAGATGAGGAAACTGAGGCACAGAGAGATTAAGTAAATGGGAGATGTGAAATTTGAACAAAAGTCTATCTCATGCCAGAGCCTTAGCTCTAACTAATGATAATTTTTAAAAATAATAACAATAGTCAACCTATATCAAGCACTTATCATGTACCAAGCATTTTACATGTATTAACTTTACCTCATGAGGTAGGTCCAACTCATGTACCCATTTTCTAGAAGAGGAAACTGAGGCGAAGAGAAGTTAAGGAACTCGCCCACAGTCCAAGCAATGGGAGACCTGGAATTTGAACCCAAGTGTATCTCACTCCAGAATTAATAAATATTGAATAGAGATATTTATTTTTTTCTAACTTTTTCAAGGACCTTCACTTTTTATAATACTAAAGATTCAAACTCTAAGGGACGCCATGTTTCAGGACATAGTTTTCCAATGTTCTATTCTCTGTTAGAAGTGAACACCGTAAAAATCCACTCATAAAGGCATTAATGACACTCAACCAATGGTGATACACATTATTCTTCTTATTTTACAAATTTGGAAGCAAGAGATCATGTGACTTGCCCAATTACAATAAAGCAAACAAACCAGTGGCTCTGGGCAAAAGCAGACCCACCGCTTCATTCTGGTGGGGCTTAGCGGCAAGATGAAGGATGCAGTTCTTCCCCATAATTCTGAGCTTCTAAAGGTCTCATAGACCTCAGATTTAAAGAAGAAACGTTAAAGATGGAACTCTCTCTCCTCCTTTGGACTAAAGGTTTCATTTTTCACTTCTGCGGAATTCCATCACCGCCGCGGATCGCCTGGGAACAATGTCCAGGTGTCAGGGACTCAGGAGCCCATGCCCCAGGTGCCCAGGACGGGAGGCGGGGTGGATCACCCTGACATCCTAGAACAAATGCCTCGGAGCAAGGAGACTGGACGAGCGGGGACCAGCGCAGCCTTTCCAGCTTCATCAGCTGCTGCTCTTGGGCCTCGGGCATGTTCTCTTGCAGCTGACAGGCAAGGTCACTGGAGTGGATGGAGGACACAGAAGAAATCCTGAGCTGAGGTTGGAATTCACTTTCAGGTGAGTGGAGACAGGCTCCCAAGAGTGTCCTTGGCATCTCCTCTTGGCTGAGCCCCTGGGGCAGATGAATTGAGTCTCCCTTCCTGAGTTCTGCAACAATTCAAGCTGGAAGGTCCTAAAAAAGAAACAGGCCTCTGAGGCTGTATTTAGAAACATCCCCTGGCAGTGCTGTTGAAGGGAAATAGCTGCCTCCAGGCCTCTGGTTACTTGAGGGTCAGCCCCTTGTAGTTCCACCACGTGAAATACCCCATGAGTGGACTCTCAATGCATATGTTGGTTAATGACAATTTTTTTTTGCTTGGAGTCAACCTCACTGGTTTTTTTAAAAAATAAAATTAAAACAGCAGTGAGAAACTATTTTTCACTTTTCAAATACTTGAATTTTTCATAGTATTAATAGTAAATGCTGAGATGTAGGGAAGGGACACAAAATGATTTTCTAATATTCAGAGGTGGAAATACAGATTGGCAAACAACCTGGCAAGAGCCACAAAAATATTCATATTATTTTTGACCCCCTGATTTCACTTGGAAATTTATGCTAGGAAATAATTAGAAATACAAACAATGATTGATATACAAGAATGTTGTAGTAAACGCCTTTTTTGAAATTTGTCCAGAACAACTCCCACGCACACTCACCTTTGCAGAAACTCCCATCCCCTCGTGCCATCATCAGCATCAAACGTGCTGGGTAATATCTTCATTTTTAAAAATATCTTCCCTGTCCCCTCCCTCCATCCCATACCCCATCTCTCTCCTGCCTTTCCACAAAACTCCTAGAAAGACTTATCTAGACTCACTGTCATCACATGCCTCTTCCCAGTCTTTTCAGAATCCCTTCTAATGAGTCTCTGCTCCACCAGAATTGCTCTTGTCAAAGTCACCGATGACTTCCAGGTGGCCAAGCCCACTGGCTAATTCTCTTGTTCTTTTTTTCTTTCCCTTTTTTTTTTTTTTTTTTTTTTTGAGACAGAGTCTCACTTTGTTGCTCGGGCTAGAGACCAATTCTCAATCCTCATCTTTCTAGACCTTATCAGCAGCATTTGACATAGTTGTGACTTAGATCATCTTGAAACTCTTCCTGCATCTGACTTCTGAATCTCTACTCTTTCTTGTTCTCCTACCTACTTGTTCATGCTTTCTTCGTCTTTTTTTGCTGATTCCTTTTCATTGTCACTACTTCTAGACATTGTGGTGCCTGCAAACTCAGTCCTCAGGTCTCTCATGTTTTCTTTTTATACTTCTTTGGTGATCTCAACCTGCCCATGGCTTTAAATTCCATCTATGTACTGATGACTTTCAAATTTTATATCTGACGTGGGTTTCTACCCTGAATTCCTGCTTACACTACTTTTGCATTTGGATGTCAAATTTGTCCAAAATTGAATTCATGGTTTCCCCTATACCCTAACACCCATCTTTGAAACATGTTTTCCTCCCAATCTTCCATTGTAAGTAAATGGGACTATCATTCAACTTCTTTTCCAGGCTCATATAGTAATAGGGGCTGTCACTAGATAATATTAATAGAATTACGGATGATTTCTATTTTTCTTTACACTGTTGAATGAGCAGCTTTGATCAGAGGAGAAATCAGTCATATTACAGTAGGGAAAAGATTCAGGAATAAACAATAGATATAGCCTCTCTGAATTTAAGGCAACAGGTACAAGGCACAAAGACCTTGTGAATAAACAGGAAAGATAAGGAAGTAGAAAATGGAAACTAATGTTTGCATCCTTATAACTAAGAAGGTGAGGTTACTAATAGCAGCTAGGTTTGACCAAATAGAGAAGCAGGTCTATATTCGAGAGTGGCAATTGCAGTACTTTGTATTATCACATGTGCTTAACCACGCCATAGAGTTTGGTCTGGGTTCTAGGCTGGGTGAGAATGATTCCTGAAACTCAGCTCAAAATTCCTTCTCTTTATAATTACTCCTTAAGGAGCACAAAGAGTCTTAACAGGACACGGGTACAGGAGAGTGGACTTGGCTCCCCATTCATCTCTTATCTCAGAGAGGTGCACCTGAACTTAGCTCAGGCTGAGGGAATTACCTGCCAGGTCAGGAGAGCACGAAATTGCAGGCCCACTGGCTTCTACAGCCTCAGCCATGACAGTGAACAACTGAAATTACCAGATAAGGCAGCAACTCTGCTTCTCAGCCAGTCAGGTCATCTAAGCTTAAGGCCCCAATTTCAAGCCTTGAAATTCTGCACCAGGGCAATCTTCCACTATCTGCACCTGCACTTCAAGACCAGAAGTTTTCTGTTTCTGTCTGCCTGGGGGCTTTCTGTGGGCAAGACTAGCTGTGGTAATCTATATGAGTCAGGGTTCTGCAGAGAAAAAGAACTAATAGGATGTGTGTGTGTGTGTGTGTGTGTGTGTGTGTGTGTGTGTGTGTGTGTGTGTGTATATATATATACATATACATAGAGAGAAAGAGAGATTTATTTTAAGGCATTGGCTCATGTGCTTGTGGAGGCTTGGTGAGTCCTAAATCTAATGGGGTAGGCCAGCAAGCTGGTGACTCAGGAAAGAGTTGCAGTTTGAGTACAAAGGCAATGTGCTAGCAGAATTCCTTCTTGCCCGGAAGAGGTCAGGCTTTGCTTTATGGAGGCCTTCAACTGATTGGATGAATCCTACCCACATTACAGAGCAGCCTGCTTAGTAATACTCCAGATCCACCGATTTAAATCTCATCCAAAAAACACCTTCCCAGAAACATCCATGGTAATGTTTGGCTAAATATCTGGGCACTGTGGCCAGCCAATTAATTAACCATCACGACAACCTCACTTTGGTTATGGGATCTCTGCTTTCGAATGAATCTCCATGCAAATGAAGTTCAAAGAACCACACAGGGTTTAACTGGCTCCACCATGGGAGAATGTCAGCGAGACATCTGGGAAGGGCTTGTGTAGTAGAGGGGACACGTTGGAGTTACATATAAACGGCTTAAATTGAGCCTGTGCTCTTCAAAACTTCTGGGTTCCAAATGGTCTTCTCTTTTCTCCTACTCACTTCAGATGGAATCTCTGTAGATAATAAATCACATAGCAGCATATCTGTGTTGCTCCACCTGCTCTTCCCATTGGAATCACTGCCTAGAAGGAGCCTTGGAATAGAGAATGTAGCTCATTCATCTGCCGACGTGTGGACATTAGCCAGGGGCCACCGCAACTGTAGCTGCCTGCTGATCAGACTGCCATGGCCCAGTAAGGCCAAACAGACCTGAATGTGATCATAGGAGAAGAAAAAGAAAACAATACGTACTTTGTGATCTTATTAATTTCCTGTGAAAATGTATCTTTATGTAAAAAATCCAACAAAATATTTTTTTAAAATAATGAATTTAAAAAATATACTTGGAGGCTGGGCGTGGTGGCTCACACCTGTAATCCTAGCACTCTGGGAGGCTGAGGTGGGAGGATCGCTCAAGGTCAAGAGTTTGAAACCAGCCTGAGCAAGAGCAAGACCCCATCTCTACTAAAAATAGAAATAAATTAATTGACCAACTAAAAATATATAGAAAAAATTAGCCGGGCATGGTGGCGCATGCCTGTAATCCCAGTTACTCAGGAGGCTGAGACAAAAGGTTCACTTGAGCCCAGGAGTTTGAGGTCGCTGTGAGCTAAGGCTGACATCACAGCACTCTAGCCTGGGCAACAGAGTGAGACTCTGTCTCGAAAAACAAATAAGTAAAAATAGAAATTAGCTAGACAACTAAATATATATAGCCAGGCATGGTGATGCATGCCTGTAGTCCCAGCTACTCAGGAGGCTGAAGCAGGAGAATCACTGGAGCCCGGGAGTTTAAGGTTGCTGTGAACTAGGCTGATGCCATAGCACTCTAGCCTGGACAACAGACCAAGACCCTGTCTCAAAAAAAATTTTAAAAAATTAAAAAAAAAAACAATATATATATATACACTTGGAGAAGAGGAGAGCAGAGAGTGGGGGATCAAGAAATAAGAATATAAACAGCAAAACTATGAAAGACACAAAACCAAATTTCAATCCCAATTACAATGATTTGATCATTATACATTATATTCATGTATCAAAATATCACATGCTCCCCATAAGTATGTACAATTTTTATGTATCAATTTTTTTAATGTTTGGGAAAATTCACCAATTAAAAAAATTTTTGCCTCTCAAAAACTCTTTCCTCCCTGCCTCGCTCAAGTTTACCAGTTACAATTGACCTCTTTGTTTTTGAATTCCTGCCATTAATCTAACCTTGAATCTTGTATTCCTGGTGTTACCTGTTATTTCATCTTTAGCATCTATTTTTCTGAACTTAACCTATGACATTAAATTGATTAATTTTATAATAAATGTTTATAGGGAAAGTCTGAGCCTTTTCCCCTGATAGATGAGTGAGGTTGCCTTTGTGATATTGATTTTTTAAACTTATTTTGCCATCTCTTTTTTATAAAAGCATAAATTCAGGGCTGGCTGATCTGCTAGGGTTCACTGAGTTCAACTCTCTGGGGATTAGGAAACTGAGGTCCAAAGTGGACCTCAGAAGTCAAATACTTGTCAAGACCAATGTCTTATGCCGAGTTGAGCCTAGGCTCCAGCTCGCTTGATTTCTGGGGCTCTCTCCACTGCATCCCAGGGAGGAAAAGCAAGCCACGTCAAAGGGAAGACACAGAATCCCTTCCTGCCGGCAGAGGAGACACACGACTCCTTCCACACATTGCATGCTGGTTACTCTGGGAATTATGGCTGCATTTGGTACTAAACAAAGTGGCTCACGTGGCCCATCTGGCCCAAGTGAAAGATCAGCAAAATAGAGACCTGAGCTTCTCTGAATGATTATAAGAAGCAGTCCCTGAAGGAGTGAGACAAACATATTAAGCCCTTCTGCAAAGCCAATTTGGGGCAATGGTCTGATTGCTGGATAAATCACATCAGGAAATTGAAATGAGGATGGCACAAGCAGCGTGCATTATAAGGTAGCAAACAGTTCTCTTTACCTTGGAGAAATCAGTCTATGAGAAGTGGAGAGGAATCGTGCAGAATGTCCAGGGAAATAAGGAGAGACATGAAGGAAGAAAAGAGAATATATGAGATACATAAATCAGAAGGATAAATGGATGT